GTTCAGGTGCTGCACACTCTGACAGCAAAGAAAATCAAACTTCTTCTTTATTATCAGAAAAACCTTTCAGGATCATGTGTGATGTGCAGGGAGCGAGTTAAAAGCCCAAACATCCTCTAAAGGGCCTTTCAGATTGCAGCTCTATAACGACCACTTCACCAACACAACACACATTTCTGCAGCTGTCGCTCAGCTCGGCGGCGTGCAGATATACTCAGATTGAGGTATGGATAGTTTGGGGCCTTTTGTGAGTATTGGGGGCTTTGTTTCAATGATAGAAGGAGTAAAGTGTATTTTTGGGATTACAGTGACACACCTCCAGCTTCCTCTTAAAAGACTCCACTTGGCTCTTCAGCTCATCGATGATGTCCGGAGTTTTCCCAGCGTCTTCCATGACTTTGCTCTCCAGGTGTTGCAGCCTGAGGACGGAACAAAGAAACTACAGTGAGCGCCTCTCACCCAGAAAACACTTCATTTAACCCCCTCCTCAGGGTATCTCACCTGCTCTCTATGTCGTCCAGCTCTGTTGGCATCCCCACACCTGCACACAAACAAATCAAATGTGATTGACTTATGAAATGAAGTCAATACATCTGAAAGGTTTAGAATGAGACAGGCAACATGCTCGCTAGGTAGAAATGGAAAATACTGTCGTTTTTTAACTAATTAGGAAATAAAATAAAGACTATTAAGAGATACACTTGAACTTCTTTGACTCGTTAAGAAATTATCGGGATTTGTTTGGACCAGAGAAGGTAGACGGTTTTAAGGCACCCCCACACCGCTGTTTTGGACGCCCCTCGGTTTGCCAGATATGAGAGCAGTTATCAGGTCAACAGGTGTTGCAGCGATGGAAGCGGTCAAGAGAAGTGGTTCAGATAGAAGTGATTGTACCCGACCTAAAAAGCCTCTGCATGTTTCTAATAAGCTCCACGAGCAGAAACGTGCTCAAACTAGGATCAATATTGGAGATGCTTTTGAAAAATGGAGAGAGGTTAGAACACAGAAAGGTTTACAGACCCATGCAGAGCTGGCTAAGTTGTTATTCACAAATCTTTTCGACTTGTCATCCTTTAAATTTGGGGCCTGAAATTTTCGAAACCTGCAGCATTTTACAAAAAGAGTGAAAAAGTAGAAACATTTTTAAAAATATTCTTCTTTCTTTTCTATTTTAGATCGCCTGACTTGATTTATTCTGTGCCCGTCTTTGGGTCTGAGCTGGGGCACATCCTGCAGGTTGGGAACTTGGTCCTTCAATAAATACTTTATATCAGTGTGAATTTATAAAAAGACGATTTTGGTCTGAAAAAAGGAAGATCTTGAGGGATGTTTTTCATCCCAAACTGCATTTCTTATAAATCAGCGTCATGCTGTCTCAGACGAGGTCGCTCACTCTGCAGGTCTGACGCCACCACCTCCAGTCGGTAGTACGAGTCCTCGCTGTTGGCCTCCAGCCGGGGAGAGATCTTCACCACGCTGCCGTTTGTGTCGTACAGCTTCAGGATGTGGTTAGACCCCACCTCCGCCGCAGCCCGGAACAGATCTGTCATGGGGAGGGTTAAAGATTGTGAGCTCATGACTAAAGAAGTTTGATTTAAGCATTGTTGGCTTTATAAGAGTGTGAGATGTAGATCGATGACCAGAAACAAGAGGAGAGAGGAGGACAGCAGTGAGTTTTTATTACCAATCACAGAATGATTTATCTAAAGTTAACACTAAAGAACAAAATGCTTTTATGGTGCACATAAACTGTTTTTTTTGTTCTGTTATTTTGTCATCTTTAAAGCTCGAGGACTCAACTCGACGTTTTTTGAGGTTGGCACATTGTTCATCACTGAGTGAGGATTAGAAGAGCAGAGAGGAGAAAGCCCTCACCAGACGACCTGTCACCCCCACATGGACGTCAGGCTGCAGGATGGATGCCACAGGAACACTCAGAGTTATTAGAACAGTCTCTTAAACATGCTCCTTTACCATAAATATCTGACTTAAATTCCTCTTTTAACAACTTATAAATTGCTACATAGTTTTATTTATTGAAATTGAGATGATGTCATTGAAACCCGCTCGGCCCCTCTCTCTTACCTTTGACGTCTGCAGCTGAGTTGTCGGCTCCAAACTCTGCATGCTCCAGCCTCCCATTTACCATAAAATGAATGATTTTTGTTGTCATCCTCGGACCAGGTGGGACTTGACCAGCTTCAGTAAGGAAAAATGAGACCTCTTGACACTGACACCTGGAAACTGAAAAGGACCACCTGCAGCTGACAGAGAGCCTACCCACTCACCCACCCATCCTCTCCCCTACCCCAAAGCTCTCATACTGGAGGAGAATATCCATGTTTATGAATCCAGTCTCCTGCTATCATAGATCAGCTAATCCGTCACAGTGACTTGAATTACCCTGATCCGTTTGCCCTTTTTGTATGTTGTATTTTTTATGTAGTCATGTTGGTTGAATGTTTGTCATATTTGATGTACATTTTGTATGTGTGTTGCATGTGGAAAAGAGGAAGAGAAGCTGCTGCATTTGTGACAACTAATGAGGATCTGAATAAAATAATGAAGCAGAATCAGATGGACACATTCACATGGTTGACGGAAAGTTTGGACCTCATCTTTTTGCCTTATCTTTTTTATTTGTTTTACTTGGTAAAGACGGCTTTGCTACATCAAAGTACAATACTTCACCCAAAATATTCTGAATTAAAATAACTGGGTTTAAAAACTACATTAAAAGAACAAGTAAACAAAAAAACTATTAACTAGTAATTAGTAACTTTCATCCAGTTTTTTTTTTTTGAGTGACAAATTTTGAAGGTTTGATCCAAGTCCAAACCAAAACTAGATTACTTGATCTAATTTCAGAATCCTCATTTAATCTTGAAGATCAGGATTTCAAGATTTAATCCACTCTGTTAGCTCAATTTTACAGTGGCTGGGAAGTGCCAAACAAAATTACAAAGTGTGAAACAAATTTACATTTTGAAAACACTTTTACGTTTTATAAAACAAATTTACAAGATGTGAAATCCTGCTGAGACAAAATTACAAGGGGCAGAATAGTAAATCTTGACGGAGAGAGAATGTACAAAATGATGGAAATGACCTGGAAGTGATCGAGTGAGCTGTCATTTTGTTTGTTTTGGCGGAGTTTGTGCTTGCAAGATGTTTTGCCTGTGTTGTGGAACTCATTTTAGCCAGATGAATCAGTTTTGCTTTTCTTGTGAACTTTTAAAGGATACCGATGTGACGGAAGTAATTTGTAAATTTGTTTGGGAACTGATTAAAGTGTTGTTGTTTTTTTATTACTTTGTTATATGTAAAAATGTTTTTCAAAATGTAAATTTGTCTCAAACTTTGTAGAAGTTTTTCTCACTTTGTATTTTTGTTTTGCACTTCCCAGCCACCGTACAATTTAGATCCATTTACTTATCAGGCCCTACAGCAGGGGTCTCCAACAGGTAACTCGGGAGCTACAGGTAGTTCGCGGGCAGGTTTTTAGTAGCTCACCTATAGGTTGACTGACTGTGTTAAAAATAAAAATAAATCTGACTACAGGAAATGCACCGCTTCCCACTATTCATGTATTTGGTCCATAAAAACAAGTGTAAAGTAGTCATGTTTTATTGGACATTGATGTGATTTTTCAGCAACATAGCTCACTATGTGGCACAATAAGAAGTGTAAAATGTTCACATTTTTTTCTTTGAATTTAAGATTATTGATAAGCATTGGCTTATTGCAATTTCCCACGTGTACAAACAGCAGCTTAAATCACCTGACGTGTACTATGTAAATAAATGCAAGTGATTTGATGCAAGTAGCTCTTGACCACTTTCATTTTTTCAAAGTAGCTCTCAGATGAAGAAAGGTTGGAGACCCCTGCCCTACAGTGCAAGTGTTAATAGCTCGATTGGAGTATTTTTTTTGTATTGTCCGTTTAGTTTATTTTATTGGATTTTGAATTTGTTAATGGTGAAGAAAGGGGGGTAGGACTTGACAAGCCTGGGCTTCTTCCTATCCCTTTCGAACGAGTCAAATGTGTATTATATTGAAAATGGCTTTTTATTTTTTTTATACAGATTTTTTATTTTTTTTCATTTGTTTATTTATTTTCATCTATTTTTGAATCGTTCGAAATAAATAAATAAATAAATAAATAAATAAATAAATAAATAAATAAATAAATAAATAAATAAATAAATAAATAAATAATAGCGTATGATCAGGCCCTGCTCTTTGAGGCGGGTGTTATTGCGCAGGCGCACCAGCAGGCGTCGTAGTTCTGCGAGTTTCAACAACACTGCAGGTTCTACGGCGTCTGCCAAGGGACATACGTGATTTACTACGGCGATTTATCATTTTTGTCGTCTTTAATTCCAATGAATGACTTGTGAATCGCAAGCTGTCTGTGTTAGACTATGAAACGCCTCGAGTATTAAACACTAAGTAGTTAAACTACCGAGAGGAAAGCGAGGAAAGAGAGGAAAAGGAGGAAAGACATGCGGAGCTGTGTGAAGAAGTAACGGTAGTTTGTGGCCGGAGGCAGCGTCGCCACTTCGGACTTTTTTTTTTTTTCAGTGACCGACTCAGTCCATCCGGTGAGTGAATATCTAACCGGTAACGGAATTAATAACGCATTAATTAAACCGGTGAGTATTATCACAGCCTCTCCTCCTAACGGGCTCACTTAGCTCAAGTGGCTAACTCTAGCTCACCTGTATTTTTTGATAAAAATCTTGCTAGTAGCGAGCTAACGAGCTAGCACCAGAAGCTAACAGCTACATAAAGTGTTTAACGTTCACCTGCGCGTCACCTTCCTAACGGTCACTTAGCTGAACTCAAATCAGCATTTTATCTGTAATTCAAAGCCTAAAAGTAAGCAAGCCTGATTTAAATCTAATAAATAGATACATATAACTTTCAGTGTTAATTTGCTAGTTTGTAAACTTTGCCTAAATGTCGTATTTTTCTTGTTATGTTTAATTACAGGGGAATGAAGCGGAATGTCCATCGCAGCCACCGTAGGACATTACGGTGCGCGTTTCGGCAACGTTAGCCGTCTCTTAATGCTTATACGTGGTGTATAAACGGGGCTCCTGCAGCAGGTTTCTGGAAACTGAAGGCTTCAGTGTTCAAATCAAGGAGAGGAAAGGCCAGCTGGACGTCTGCTAGTGCCTTGAGTTCACCTGTCAGCAGCAGCAGCAGCAGCAGCCATGGAGGAGGAGGTGGTGAGCATGGAGTTTCTACTGGAGCAGGTGATGCAGAAGGACTTGGGGAAGAGGCTCCAGGTGGGCCAGGAGACCATTGAGCTCATCTTGGACGAGGGGAAGTCCCCAGACCTGGAGCAGGACCAGGGCATGCTGGACAGGATGGTAGACGCAGTGGCCAGCTCCTGGGTCAACTCCAGCAACTTCAAGGTGAGGACAGTTCAAAAGGAGGAATGATGCCTTTGAGTGGAAACTGGGGCGGTAAATAAACACGACACCTCCACCTGTCAAGATCTTTTAAAAAATAACATCAGAGAGGCTCTTTGCAGCTACACTGTGACAGGGCTGGGTGATATGGACCGAAACTCATATCTCGATATTGTTTAGCTGATTGGCGATACTCGATATATATCAATATGTATTTTATTAACAGTGAAAACACATGGAAAAATAAACTACCTGATTGTGAATTTAAAAAGTAATATTATAAAATAAAAATGTTCCTTAAATACAATAAAAGAGAGAGAGAGAGGAGGAGCAGGGTGAAGAGGGACAGACAGTCAGTCATCATCAGTGAGATGAGAAAAAGGTGACCTGGCACCTCTGTAACGTTATTTTAATGCAACTTAAACTACATTGATATTAACGTTATTGTCTTACCCTATATCTTGTTTGAAAATATATCGATATATTTTAAAAACTCGATGTATTTCCCAGCCCTACACTGTACATGGTTTTTGATTTTGTCGACACTTACTCATTTGCAAATGTAAAGTATAAAAGGACCACTTTCAGAGTCCCAAAGCTTAAACTGTCATCAATATATGATTTCATTGTCACCACGACAGGTGGTGTACCGATAATGTACTCTATTGAGTCAATTTTGAGCTTTTTAAAATTATTTATATCCTTAATATGGCTGTCGCGATTCTTAAATGCGATTTTAGTAGAAATACAATTAAATAGTTGTTTTGACACCACCGCAACAGAAACCCAAGTCCCACTTCTTTTTAGTCACTAAAAATTGCATGCACGTGTCACAATCTATAACAAAATGATTTGCTTATTCTACATAAAAGCTGTCCTTTTTTTAGAGCTTTTTTTGGTGGCATTAACTAAAAGACCTTTAAAAAAAATTTCTGCAATGTTGATTTGAAAAGTGCTTCTCTGTTGTCGTGATAATGGATTGGCAAGAATTTGCAAATGTGCATAAAATGTAATTTTCTCACATTTATTCTTGCAGTTACGCTTCTCGTTATAACAGTAAATGTGTCAGTTTTTCTATTGAGACGATTTCTACTTCCTTATTTATTTTTTGTTTCCTATTTTCTGTGCTCCTCTTAGTTTTTCTCACAAATCTTTATTGATTCCTGGTACACTTTCTTTAGAAAAACTACAGAGAAAAGGCACATACCACATGTTCTTCCTCAGATGTTTATAATATTTAAGAATGCATTTTCAATCCAGTGTGAAAGAGCAATTGTTAAGAGCTCAAAGTGTGTCATTTTTTATAAGTGAGTAACTTCATTTGCAAAGGAACAACATGTGACGCCATGAAGGGCTCCAGAACAGCTGATGAATGGAGCTTGTGGTTAAAGATTTTCCAAACTCAAAAGTTATTTTAGGAGTCACAAAAACTTACTGTAGTTTGGTTGGATGTTCTGTTTTTTTATTTGTTACAAAGAAAGAGGCAGAAGAGACTGAGTGGAGCTGAATACTTAAATACCTTAAAAACACTCCAGAGTCCACATGTTCATACACACATACAGAATACTGATACCACCAATCATATGGCTGCTTGCTGCGCTGCCCTGGAAACGCAGCGTCCTCCAGTCGGCCTAATATCTGCAGGTCTGTAATGGGGACGAGGCTCCCAGGCGAGTGAGGCAGCGTCGATGGCTGGGAGCTTAATTTACCCGCACCATTAGCCCAGTTTCCTTCCCCGTGTGACCGAGCCAGAAGGAGACGAGCAGCGAGTTTTACAGGACTGAGTGTTTCGATGTTTGGAGATCAGCTTCCTGTGTGTCAGATGTGTGTGTGTGTGTGTGTGAAAGATGCTGGTGGTCTAATGGCTCCTGTTAATTGATCGGAGTGCAGTGAGCAGACGAGCCGGGCCGTTACATAAATTAAAAGAGCGTTGAGCTGTGGTTAAAAACAGACAGCTTAATGGCAGAGCCCGACAGTAAAAGTCAACATTTACATTTACGAGAGCTCCACCGTCCGTATCTCTCCCGGACTTGCTGTGGAAAATATACTAGGAGGCTTGTTGAGAAACTCTGTGTCAGGTCCGAGTGGAAAATTCAGCTGTTTGTGTTCCTACAGCTTCTCCTGGAAATATCCAGAGTTTTCTGTACGTGTGGTGTGGAAGCCCTATAAGGTTGCAGCTAACTGCATTGATTGTTTTATGGATTAATTAAACATTTAGATCAATAATTTTTCAGAAAATGGTTAAAATGTTTATCAGCTTTTCCCAAAAAACCCCAGGATATAAAGTATAATTTCTATTTTGCTTTATATGATGAGGAGCTTGAAGTGTAAGATAATCAGTTTGAGTTATGGCTTCAGGATGGATGCACTTTTATTTATCAACCAGTAGAGGGTGCCCAATTGTAGTATGACTTCATTTCTTTACAGTTTTTCTCTTTTGTTTGTAAAGAGGTTCCAAAAATTGCACCAGAGACTGAACATAAAGTTCAGGTGGTGCGTATGTGTTGATTATGGTGCTAGCAGGGAAACTCTCACTAGACGTTCATTGAGCTTCCCAAACCACCCCAAGACAAGGAAAGTTGACTGTAGTGGCTCTGATCCCTTTCTGTAAAATGTTCAAACCATCCTCAGTCATGGTTCGGCCTTAGTTCAGTGTTTAATGTCTCAAAATGAAAGATTTCATGGCTGTATTTTGATTTTTCATCATAAAAAGTGTGCACCTTCATTATCTGCTGTTGATTTCAATGAAAACTCATATTTCTGACAAATTACCCATGATCCTTTGCTGCCCAGATTCAAATCCATGGCCCTGCTGCTGACATCAGGCAGTAGTAGTTGTCTCTCTTGGATGTAGGGAGTAGTCTGATGCTGTTTTTCAGCCTGTTTACTTCATGTTTGATGGTTTTTGTTGTTTTTGTGTTTCAGGTGGTTTTGTTGGGGATGGACATTCTGTCAGCTCTGGTCAGCAGACTGCAGGAGAAGTTCAGGACGCAGGTTGGGACAGGTGAGCTGCTTCTCATGATACAAAAAACAGTCACTAAATAGAGCCGATAAATTCAGTTTATACATTTATGAAGCTAACGGGTCTGTTCCAGCAGTTAAAAAGATTATTGACTGAAAGTCTGAAATATAATTTATGTTTTAAGTATTTTGCATTTCACAATATTTAAAGGTGGAATAAAAAAAGGGCTTTTTGTGTCATAAATTATTCAAAAAAACATCTAACTTTGATTATTATTATTACTTTTACCCATCATGCATCTCTTCCGTATTTGGTTTGATTGAGTTTCAGCTCGTATTTTCCCACAGTCATGCTTCATGATATTACATTGAGATAAATAATTTTCCTTACAATAAGTTTCAGCCCATGAAACATAAAATGGGGCTCTATTTCCGTCCACTTTAAGCAGATTATAGATTAAAAAGTCACTTTTGTTTCTGCCCTCTGTTCCCGCTCAGTTCTGCCGAGTCTCATAGATCGACTCGGAGACGCCAAGGACCAAGTTCGAGACCAGGACCAAGCTCTGCTGCTGAAGATCATGGACCAGGCTGCAAACCCTCAGGTGCTCAACAGCACACGAGTTCATCCAAACCTTTCAGTGTTCTCACAGAGGAACAAGAGGAAACTAAACCCTCCTGTTTACTGAAAGCACACCAACATTTACCATTCTTAGTCCTGTTTTGGTTTCATGTGGCAGCCTTTACAGAGTCTGACTTGATGTATATATTCTTTGTGCTTTAACGTGCGTCCAGTATGTGTGGGAGCGAATGATGGGAGGCTTCAAACACAAAAATAACCGGACCAGAGAAGGCCTCTGCCTCTGCCTCATCTCAACTCTAAATGTGTGAGTAACTCAGAGCAAAGCAATTTAAATAATGATACAAGAATGTGATTTCTATTTTAATGACCTTCCTGTTCTTCTTGTGTTGTGAATTTACATTTCTTTATTTTTCTCAGGTTTGGATCTCAGAGTCTGACACTCAGTAAAATCGTCCCTCACATCTGCAACCTTCTCGGAGATCCCACAAGTCAGGTATGACCTGCAGCTTCACACCTGGACAGTAACTGTTGCATTACTGGGCTTTGACTGCCCTCTGCTGGTCGAGTTCAAACATTACAGCTTATCAGGGACCCTCAGACACCAGGATTTCTCTGGGTTCTTTTCCACCAGTGTTGATATACTCTTGTAGAGGAAACATTCAGCTGTAGTTAGAGATGTGATACTTTGCTGGAATCAAACCTGTGATCCACTCCTGCTGTGCTCTGTGTCTGAGTTTGCTGTCTACTGATTGGCTGGCTGCAGAGGTCTATCATCACAGGAGTCACACTTCCTCTTGATGACAGGAAGCCATGCCCTTTAACTTCCCTTCCTGACCCCAAACACGCTTGCACATGTGCACTGCAGCACTCCTACTGCAGTAAGAACCAGCATCATTAAAATGATCTGATGGCTAATTTTTTTTATTTAACCTTTTAAAGGAAAGAAGAAATCAGCTGGAAACAAACAAACCTCACAGAACGGTTACTAGAGGCTGTTTTCCAGTCTTTTTCAAAGCCTCTTCTCAGAATTTAATCTGAGATTTTATTTTGTTGTGGATTCAAAGTAACAACAATGTGACCTCTCCCCAAGTGTAGAGCAGCGTGTGTTCATAGTGAGGGACTTGCCTGAATTCAAATACACTAATGACAACACATCTGGAGTTTCATCTTCAAAGGCACACAAGTACACCGATCAAAATTTAAGATTTGGAAGTTTCTATTTTCTTATCGTTGATCTGTAGGTGCGTGATGGAGCCATGAACTGCCTCATAGAGATCTACCGTCACGTCGGAGAACGAGTGAGAATGGACCTCGGAAAGAAGGGTCTGCCTCAGTCACGGTGCGTTCACATGCTGTCTGTGAATACAGCTTTTCCTCCTCCATTATTAACAAACTTTTAGAAATCTCTGCTAACATGAATCCTAATAGACTTGCTTTAGATTTTGGAGGAATGTTTAAATTCAGAAACTGTTTTAACGTCGTCAGGAATGTTGTTTGAGCTGTGAACAAGGACCGGTGGCTGATTTAAAGTGATGCATTTGTGTGTTGCTTTGAATCTGCTCTGAGCTTTTCTTGACTTCACGCTAAAACTAATCTTAGATTTTATTAGGTTCATATAAATACATTTCTACAGATCGACTGTGCGATGACTGTTGCACTTGTACTTTTGAGTTCCATGAGATGTCTCTTTGGCCTTTTTATCCTCTCTCTGTGGAAGCAGAAATCAGACACTTTTCTGTTTTATTGGAGAATGAGCTGCAGGCCTGAAGGCAGCCGGGATGTTTGTTTCCTGTTAAAAATAAATGTGCTGATTTTCTTCCCCTGTCTCCTCCTTCTCCGCCCAGGCTGAACGTCATCTTCAGTAAATTTGATGAAGTTCAAAGATCAGGGAACATGGTCCTGTCTCCGTTGTCAGGTAAGATCATGTCTACGAGTTCCTGACTCATGTTGCACATGTTGAACTTCGTTCTAGTTGTTTTGTTTTTGTCTGGTGTTGTAAGAAGTAAGACCCTCCAGGAACGCTCCACATGTGTTTGTTTATGCACCTCTAAGGCTGTCAACAGTTTAGCAGAGAAAACATTTAGTATGTCTTCACATCTAGGCAGCGACAGACAGAGCTTCCTACATTGAATCTATTTGATGAGTTTGCAGCAGGAAAACACTTCACAGATTGAGGGGGGTCTGAGAGACAGAAAATACGGATTTGAACTGTTTTAGGAGGCACAAGAAAGTGGTCGACACTGTGGATATGTTAGACAAAAAGAAGGGGAGCAGACACTTTGTGACTCTGCAAACAAAATCGAACAATGTATATGGCAAAATGAGGCCTTAAAATAAATGTTAGGTCTTGTGATACTTGTGACAAATTACACTTGGAACATTTTTTTGTATCCCTTTTGTTCTTCTGGGATTCACTTGGAGGCTTTAAATCTAATAATCAAAGAATGTGACGTTTGGAAAGTGAGTGAATATCTTCTCTATCCGTCTCTGAGCATGTTCAACAGTTTCCATCGGTCTGTTTCAGTCAGAACGCAACCTGAGCTGGTTTCTTTGTGCAGCCGTCTCACTTCAGGAACAGCACCTCTGCAGAAGAGACACAGAAAAAGCTGAAATGAAGCAGCAGGAAATAGTGCACCTGTGGAATATACACCAGGAGTGTGACTTTGGACAGGTTTCTCTTCAACTTATTGTCTCTCAGAGCAGATCTGACTGACCTGATCTACGTGGTCACTGGGCTCAGCTTTCATCTCAGGGGGCTTAAACATAACAAAGACAAGACCACCTTCCTTTGGGGAAATGACAGGAATGTGTCGCAGGGATAATCTGACATAAAGGGAGGAGCTTCACCGTGCAGCGTTAGTGTCGAGGCTTTTGTTTTGGTAACTTAATCACACCATCAGATGACAGCGCTGCTCTTAGGGAAAGTTTACAGACGCTCTGATCATCATGATTCATTTTCTGCACTAGAATTAATGAGAATCTTTATACACTTACATCCCCAGTGATACTGAATCTGTAGAAGACTTCTAGTTTTTAAAGATTTTCATGTGAAGCTGCAGCAGAATGTTTTTGTTTTTGCACAAGTATCAGCTAGATTCAAAGAAAATAGTCGCTTGCAGGTCAGTTGGCGTGATAATTAATGGGGCTTTGTTAAGATCACTGGACCGTTTCATGGAATAATTGTCGTCTACAGTAAGAGAACTAGTTAACAAGCATTAGTGAACTCAGCCTCAGTGTGTTTAACATCCTCTGAGTTAAAAATGATCGGACAGTTTCGTAGAACAAGAGTACAAAATCAATTTCATCCATAAACAATACAGAAAGTAAAAAGAGAGAGTTAAAGAAAAGCTGAACGAACAATGCAAACAGGGGAAACAGACTCCGGCAGCTCAGGGAGGCGTCAGCTGTTGTCCTCATAGTCACGAGGGGAGTTTAGAGGGGAAGGGAGGAGACAGGACGGGCAGCCGTGCATCAGCAGGTCTGTTTCTCCTGCAGAAGATCCACAGAGGAGTCGAGTCCCTGCAGGTAAATTTATTTAAAGCTAAGGAACTGCAGAGTTCCCTGAGAGAAAGAGTTTCTGTCAGAGTGTGTACCGGTATTTGTTGTAAAACAGGTTTTTCCTGTCTGTCTTTGTGTTTAGAAACCTTGCTAATTGCGCTGGGATCATGGTTGTGTGCTGAAGCTCGGTGATGTGTGTAATCCCGATGTTCTGCTCTGTTGTTGTTCTTCATTTTAAAGTACAGTGTGCTCGATTACCTCTAAAACATTTAAACAATTTCAGCCATTCTCCCGGAAATGTTTGTTATTATTTGAAGAACATAACTGCTCTTGTCCTGATAGGGGAAGTTTTGTCCAGCATTTCTTTTATAGAGGAGTTGACTTTATTTTAAATGGCTTTTTATTGAATTGAAGATTGGGTGCTTGTTAATGACTTCAGATTCTAGTTTGAGCACGTTTCTGCACGTGGAGCTTATTAGAAACATGCAGAGGCTTTTTAGGTCGGGTACAATCACTTCTATCTGAACCACTTCTCTTGCCCGCTTCCATCACTGCAACACCTGTTGGTTTGACCTGATAACTGGTCTCATATCTGGCAAACCGAGGGGCGTCCAAAACGGCCGTGTCGGGGGGTGTCTTAAAAGCGCCTACCTTCTCTGGTCCAAACAAATCCAGAGCATTCAGGAGCAGAATCTAAAGTTAGAAGGAGGACATACTGGCTGCTGTATTGTTGTCAGAGAAGCCAGCACTTCAACATAGCATGTTTCCTTCATTTTCCAGAATATTTTGCCAATAACTGAACTCAAACGCTACACAATTTAATATTTTTGAACATCATAGTTTGATGTATATTCTTTGTAGAGCTGGCTGAGAGACACAGCCTCAGGAGGTCCTGCAGGGAGGAGTTGAGAGACGAGGACCGGTACTCGCTGCCAGCAGGACTCTGGTTGCACGGTTATAAACCTCCTGAATAATGAACACTGTGCAGGTTTCACTGAACGACAGGCCGCCATGGAGCCCCTCACAGCTCTTAAATACTCAAAAAAAGAAAATACTAATTTATTCAAGGAGACATTCTGGTCATGATCCACTTGTCTCCGGACAGAATAGCAAACACAAGACGCTACTCACAACAAAACAGGAATGCTCTTATCCACATACACTGAAGGAAACCAAACAGGAAGAGGTTTACTCCCAACAGGAAAACACACTGAGCCTAAAAACCAAAACATTTAAATATATAGACCCTCACTTATTATCACCGTGTCTCATTGTTAAGGCCAAAGAATGACGAAAAAATGACTGTGATCTAAAAACCCGTACTTACATCCAGATAATCAGTGAGTATGTTCTTCTTTTCTCTAGTTCTGGACTAAAACAGCTTTTATACACAAGGGGAGGAGCCGGCCGTCCCGTCCATGTAAACACGGCTCTGACAACAACACAGCCAGCAGGACTCGAGCTTCTCCCTCATTGTAGACAGTCATGACTCAGAGACACATTTACACAGGATAGACTTGATTTATGATTTATTTATGTGGAACATGTCGCACATTCTTCCTTTAATTACAATCCTAAAAATGCAGAAGATAAACTCCCATTTTAATCAGAAATAAAAAGAAGAATCTGTGTGATGATGAGGCTGTTTTAGGGTTCTGCATGGCCTGATTTCTGTGACTTCTGAGAATGTTTTCTCAGTTTTGTTTTGTTTGCCAACTTTCTGTTTCTCCAGACTCAGAATACAAAGCCGCTCTTTACCAATGTTGCTTTTCTCCGTTGTAACTCCACACTCTGGCCTATGGATTTTCTCAGTTTGAATGCATGTTAATCGGGTGAGAAAGTTGTGAATGAAGCCTGATAATTCTGTGGGAACGTCCCTCCCACTGTTGTTCCATCTGGATGTTATGTGTAGGAGATGGGAGGGGTGTTTCCCGCCTCATTCACTCGGCGTAAATCTCCCTGTGTTCGCAGGTTACAGTTTACATTAGAGATTATTTTTTGATGCAGATGTTTTTCTTAACAGTGAGGGCTGAAAAGGTGAATAATATGAGCTGCAGGTTATAAACAAAAGTATAGTGGAGGTAGAGAAAGATTTAAAAGTGGGTGATTTGATCTTTTAACCTGCTGATTACCTGTCGTAAGCTTCTCCTCCTAAACCTCGGAGCTGCTCTCCCACGCTCCCTTGTGTCGTCCCCTCTTCAGTGACGCGACACCCCTGAACGCATCACCTCTCCCCGGGTCATTTGGTGAATTTGCACCAGGGGGATCAGCTGTCAGACTCCATCAGACTCAGGGATCACAAAGACTTTGAGACGCTGCCAGGAGGAAAACTTGTGACCCGGAGCTTTGTTTTTTTCACAGTAAACAAATTATATTATGTGATCAATTATAATCTGTCGTCATCATTCGTTATTTTCATACTTAAGTTGTCCGAGTCAGCGCTGTTTAGACTGTGCTCTGCTGCTTCTCCAATGACTAAAAAATCTGCTGTACAAACTGGAAGTTTGGAAAGTAATATGTGTTAGCATTAGCCAGGCTGTTGAAATGCATTATGGGAAATGTAGGATGTGTTGATCTTAGGAGTTTGAATCATTCTGCACTAAAGTTGTTCTATCCAGAGTTCTGCTGCTGGATGGTTTCTGAGTGTTTTTTTTTTTTTACATATTAAATAGCTGAAGTACTCTTTTAATGATAATAATTCACTTAGGTTAATTTTTTTATTCTTTTCATAAAATGAGGGTAGACTTTTAGGTAGGTGATGTGATTTCATGCATCTCCCAACATAAATTAAATCAAGGCTGCATTTTTCCCAGTCAGAAGGGTTATGAGCAGTTATGAGTTTATGGATTCATCAAACATGCCGCAGGTATTAGGAAGTCAAATTCACAAAAAATCAAATCTCTGTCTCCAATTTTCTTTGCTTAATCTTGTGCAGAAAAATGTTCTGGAATTGTATTTAATTTCCGTTCAGAGTTATTTATCTCTCACATGTTGAGGGCAGCTGTGACCTTGCTGTGATTGAAAACAATCGGCTGCTGCAGGCTGACATTAACAGTGACAGAGGAGCATCTTCCTCTGGAGGTGTCTCTCGTTATTCCTGCTCCTCCTCCTCATCTTCCTTCTCTCCTGAGTCATGCTAACACTATAGCTGTCACTCATCTCTGACTCCGCCTAGCAGCACTGCCTCCACATACAGCATCAGGGTTCGTCCCCTGACCGACCCATCCCTTCTCCTCTCATTGGTCCGCTCCTCCCCGCCTCTCCTTCATCACTGCTCTCTATCCCCTCCCTTCCTCTTCCTCCTTCCTGCTCCTGGCAGTGTGTATGTGCATGTGTGTGTGTGTATGTGTTTTTCTGAAGTGAACTAGAGGATGGAGAAGATCGAAGCACATGCTCCCTGACAGGGGAGGGAGGAGGCTAGCTGTTTGAGTCCCCTCCTTCCTCCCCTCTTGTCTCTCCTCAGCAGGAGGAAAAGATGTGAGGACCACAGAGCACCGGAGGACCACCTGACCGTCTGTCTCTCCGTCCGTCTGTGTGTGTGTGTGTGTGTGTGTCTGCCGACATGCTGAGGAAACTGGTCTGCAGGCGGATCTGCTCCTGTAAGCTGCTGCTGCTCTTGCTCTGGATGCAGGGAGGGTTTGAATGCATCCTATAGAGGAGATAAAGAGAGGAGGACGCAATCAGTGCAGGCAATGGGAGCTCAATGAGAGGAGAAGAAAAGGGGGAGGAGGGGGATGCCTGGTGTGACGATGGCTGTAAATCCAACAGGAATGTGTCTTGGGCGTCTTGAATGTAAACACAGCAGGATGGTTTCTTGGCCTGCTCACAGCTGGATTGATGTGTGAACAATGCATATTTTTGGAATCTAAATTGCTAATTGGTACGAGAAGTTTTCGCTCCATTTGATGCTTTAGCCTGCAGCTGAAAGAGGCTGTAATGATTGCAACATTATCCTGTCCATTAACTCCTGTGTTCTCTGAGGTATAATCACTGTTTTTGTCAATGGAATCGGTGGCTTTATAGAGAGCGATGTAAACGCTGTTTCTGGTTAAAGGATTTTATTCTCGAACAAAGAAGGTCTTTCTCCTTTGTGAAACCTGCCTCCAAGGATCTGCACCTAATAGTCTTTTAGACCACAACATATGCCAAATAATGTAGAAGTTTAGAAATGGCAACAGATATCAGGTCCAATTTCAAATCATAAATTAAAAACTTTCCATGTAGATGAAAGTTGTTGTTGTTAAGCCGTTTGTATCAAAATTTATGTTTGACTTTTTCTAAAATAGTTTTCACATCAAAGAAGATAAAATGTCATAGAAACACAAAGGACACAGAACAATCCAGAGGGGTTTTCCTCTTGACCTAGTGGGCTCGGCACCACCCTGGTTTCTCCTCCTGAGCCTCAGGTGAAACGTGTGTGTGTGTCAGTCAAACTCACACACTGTCACCTTGTGTTGATATTGAAGGTGTTGCATTGTGCTTTATTTCTGCAAGGAGGAAAATCTGCAGCCTGGCGGCACATGACGGATGTGCTGGCTGAGTGCCCTGCCCCTGTGTGTGTGTGTGTGTGCATGTGTGTGTGTGTAAACTTTGAATAATGGAGGAGGATTGATTGCTCGTTGTGCAGATTCCTGTGCTGCGCCGGGGGACTCACCTGACGCTTTGGGGACGTTTCCACAGGACTGTACCTCATTGTTTATTTATTCAATGGAGCGTTTTAAATATGATAAAGAACCTTTTATGTATATTGGATAGGCAAGGGAACCAGTAGGAAATGAATATGTTGAAGGCTACAGAATATTTAGATGTATGTGCCCTGAAAACAGACAGAAGAGCAGATGTTGATGTAATGATCTAATAGGTCACTGAACTGAAATAATTGATGCTTAACGACGTGGAGGCACCATGACTCAGAATTAAGGAAACTTTTCACCTGTTTTGTGACATTTTCAAGCAAGTGATTGTTGTTTTAATTGAGAAACTAACTGGCACAATTGAAAGATAAAGATCAATTTAGTTTTCAGCCCAAACTATGAACGAAAGTCTTTGCATGGCAGCAGAGTCATTTCATCCTGCACAGCCCTTGTTGTTGTTTTTTCATGAACTGTGATATAAAAGACAGAAGCAGCACATACAAGCTGGAAGTGGTTGTTTGTTCTGTTGCTTGCTAAATGAAATGAATTAATTTGATGATAGAAATAATTTGTGATCAACAACAGTCCAATCAAACCAAGATCACCGATAGCTAACAGCTGTTATTAATGGATGCTTCTGTGTCCTCAGATGTGTTTTTTTTTGTCCTCCTGTGGTCGCTCTTGACGTCTTACTGAGAACACTGGACTCGTTGTTCATTTATTGCCAATGCTTTGAGTAACCCTCTCACTCCTCACACTCGTCACTGCATTTTGTTACCGAGGCAGGAATGCGAGCTATGTCCTCAGCGCAGGACTCCTCCGGCACGCTGCTCCACATTTCTGAGATGCTCAGCGCTGACATTTTCTTTGTTCTGTGCGTTTACTGAAGACTTGTTATGCAGTGACTTGACCCCAACCCTCTGCCTCTCTGTTTTTTCTGCTCTTCCTCCTACAGACAAAAACCTTGAGGACGATGACTCAGCGGACGGTGGCCGCTCCTCATCCTCGTCCAAAGGAGCCTCGCTGTCCGGGAGGAAGGCAGTGAGCATGGGTTCATTCAGACGCCCCCCCTCCGCCTCCAGCACAAAGTCTGCAGGTCAGAGCTGATGATTACAAGCTAAATATATCAAAACCTGAACTTGTCTGTTTTTTTTAAACTCGTCGTCATTTTTTTCATTCATTTAATACATTTTAAATACTCTTTTTTCTTTCTATTTAAGTTTTAAAATGTATTCTGGGTTTGTCTGACTGTTAAGCGTCATCATATGTTTTTGATTCCTCTGTCGTCCGCTGAATACAAATCCTGTGTTTTGCAGTGAATAAAGCATTACTGTGGCAGCAAAGGAAATACATGAAATATGGCAGACTTCTGGCATTTCCTTTTTGAATGATCAACAAGTAAAATGAAAGTTTGTCAAACAATGTGTTTAGTTTTTACTGCCAGTTTTCTCCCTCTCTTATATTTTGATTGTTTTCAGAGAAATCGTATAAAGTGACATTTTTCTGGTTTTAACTTCTCACCCTGCTGCTGCCTGTAGGGAGGGATGGATCAGTTGCCGGAGCTGTGGATGAGGAAGATTTCATGCAGGCCTTTGAGGATGTTCCCACAGTGCAGGTACAGAGCCATCTTTATTCCACTTAATAAAGTCTTATATTGATGGGTTCAGATCTCCTAATTCTATCTGTATCTTCTCTTTTCCTCCTTCTTCATTCCTCTCCTCCATCAGATCTACTCTAATAGGGAGGTGGAGGAGGCCATGACGAAGATCCGAGACGTGCTGTCAGACGATAAGAGGGACTGGGAGCTCAGAGTGGCAGCTGTAAGACCACTTGACCCCGCTCTATTATCTCACAGTTTGGTGAATATTATGATGTGGATTGTTTGTTGTCTCTTTGCTCCTCCTCCAGCTGAAGAAGGTGAGATCGCTGCTCCTGGCCGGCGCGGCAGAGTTTGACTGCTTTCTTCAGCAGCTGCGGCTCCTGGAGGCGGCGTTCAAACTGTCCGCTAAGGACCTGCGCTCTCAGGTGGTGAGAGAGGCCTGCATCACCCTTGGGTAAGACTGCTGGGGGTTATAAAGAGTAACAGCAATGCACACTTTTGAATAAAGCTAAAGATGATGCTTGGATATGAAAGCACGCTCACATCTTCCTCCTGTTCTTAAGCTTGTGGTCGTGGTGGTTGATGGTTTTATTTCTTCTCTCCTTTCTCCAGTTACCTGTCGTCAGTGCTCGGCAGTCGGTTCGATCATGCGGCGGAAGCCATCATGCCTATCCTCCTCAATCTGGTCCCCAACACTGCCAAAGTCATGGCCACCTCCGGCATGGCCGCCATCCGCCTCATCCTCAAAGTATGTGTCATCATTAATTACATGATGTCTCACATGATGAATCTTTTGGGTTGGTTTAGACGATGATGATCATTGAGAAACCAGAAGCTATCACATTTAAATTCTAGCAGCCATTTGCTCTCACCTTTCATTCAGGCTGCTTCAAAGCGATTCAGAAAAAAGTGTTTTTGTATCACTGTATCAAGTGTGAATGTATCACTGAAGAATCCAAGCAGTTTGTCTGAAAACATAATCATTTCCGGGTAGATTAAAATTATGTGAGCAGGTTTTGACTCTCGTTTCTGTTTTTATTTTCTTTGCAGCACACACACTTCCCACGTCTCATCCCCATCATGACCAGCAGCTGTACCTCCAAATCTGTGGCTGTGAGAAGGTGACAGAGACACATGTTGAATTTGATTTTATCATGAATTTATCCTGATATAATATATTTGGTGCAAAGACAGATTTTAAAATAACAAACGCACAAACTTAGTACGTAGAATAGTATTTATCGTTCCTCTTCTGATCTCACTTTATATTTATATGTGCTTGCTCTCCTCTGCAGACGCTGCTACGAGTTCTTGGACCTGATGCTACAGGAGTGGCAGACGAGCTCTTTAGAGAGGTGAGGAATCGACCTGAATCTTTCTGAAAATGTTTTATTTCTATATCCATGAACCAGACGGTTCTTCAAGTTACCCCAAACACAATCAGAAGACATTCTGACACAAACAATGAAGTGAGAACGGCTTCATTTGCTTGTGAATGACTTTTAAGTACTGCACGCCACCTCGTCGTGAAATGTGAGACCGGCCGAGTCAAGGGCCATCTCAGCAGTTTCCATGGCGATGCCAGGGGGATCTCTGTCTGCCTCCAAAAGCCTCATTGTGTTTCTGCCTCGCTGCTTCCGCCACCAGGGAGAAACCCGAGCTGACCCCCCCATACCAGGGGAGCTCTCTGGTTCTCATCGATCAGTCAGTGTGTGTGTGTGTGTGTGTGTGCGTCTGCGTGTGTGTGTGTGACAGAGAGAGAGGTACTGATTCGGTTTCCTTACACTAACCAGGTAAAAATCAGACTTTGTTTGGTGAAAAAAAGCTTTAATAAGCTTCATGTTAAAGGCTTTATATGTGACTTTTCACACTTAAATATAATATAAATCAAGTATATCCTCTGAAAATAACTCTGTGAGTCATGACTGTCTACAATGGGTGTAACACCGAGTCCCACTGTCTGTGATGTTTTCCGAGTTTTCAGAGTCCTATCTTCAGCTTGTTTACATCGCCGGGACGGCCGGCTGACTCCTCCCCTCACATATAAAAGTTGTTTAATTGAGGGACTAGAGAAAAGAAGAATAACATACTGTACTCACTGCTTAACTGTGTTTCTAGATCACGCTCATTTCAGGTAAATTTACATGCAGTGTGAAGATACCAGCATAATAAAGATCGCTAGCATTAGCATGCTAACACAACAATGTTGTTTTGGTTTCATGCTGGTGCTCAAGGGTGACATCAGCTGGATCAAAAAATTGCATATAAAGCCTTTAAATACTTGTTTTGTCTTATCCCCGCTCACAGACATGGAACAGTTTTAATGGAGACTATAAAGAAAGGGGTCCATGATGCAGACGCTGAGGCTCGCTCTGTGGCCCGGAAGTAAGTCACACCGATCAGGTGTAAAACCTGATCCACTAGAGAAAAACAAACCAATGATATATCTCAACTGTTTGTGGCTTTGATGTGACCAAATCTCCTCATGGTCTCAGGTGTTACTGGAGTTTCCACGGTCACTTCCGTCGGGAGGCAGAGCAGCTGTTCCAGGGCCTGGAGTCATCCTATCAGAAAGCTCTGCAGGCTCACATGAGGAGCGGGGACAGTCTGATGTCCCTTCCCGCCTCCGACCGCTCCTCCTCGTCCTCTCAGGAGAGCCTCAAGTGAGAAACTGGCTGATTGATCGGTTTATTGATTAACTGGGAAAGATTACACCGTCAAAGACAGCGACATGCAGTCAAAGGGGTTCAGTTTTCAGTCACAGTATTTGACAGCAGAGGGAGAGATTTATTAGCAACAAGCTCTTACTTTCATGAAAGTAGAAGATTATGGTCCCTATATCTAAAGGTATTGACAAGTTGTTGTTGTTGTTTACATGAGGTTCTGTTTCAAAGAATTGTTTGACTTTTTCTTCCTGTCTCCACAGTCGACCCCCGCCTGGAAAAAGCAGCTTTGGGAGCGGCTCGACAAGATGTGAGGAGATGACACCCTGCTCTTTATTTCATTACAATCACGCTGCAAAAATAAACATGCTGTGTTTGTTCAGTCAAATTAATAGAATATTTAAAACAACAAACACGATAAGAAATAGAAGATAGTGTTAAAACATGTAATATAGGAAGAGATTAAAATAATTCTTTGCTGCTGCAGCTGTTTGATGTTTGTCCTGTTTCCATCCCCCGTTTCTGCCCTCCTGCAGCCAAAGCCGCCCACACCAGGCCGCCCGCTGCAGCCTCCTCCCCGGGCTCCCTCCAGCGCTCTCGCAGCGATGTGGACGTCAACGCAGCAGCCACTGCCACTGCCCGCACCAGGATGCCCGCGGTGCCCTCGGCCGTGACATCATCTCCCTTCAGCTCCGCCTCTGCCCTCCCACCTGGGTCCTACGCTTCACTGGGTAAGCTTTACGTTTAGAGTAAAGGTTGCTCAGGATGTTTGATGATCTTATCATGCAAGGATGTTGGAGTCTTTGAAGTTCAACACTCTAGACGCACTTTCTTGTCATAAAGTAATCAAATATTTCTTCTAAACATATTGATTGAACAGAAATCCAAACTCCGATCTCAATCCTCCCCGCCCTCCCTCTTTGTCAAACATTTTTCAATCTTAACCTCTTGACCCTGACCCTTGTTGTGTCCCCTCTGGCCCCTGCCCACCTGTCAGACGGCTCGTGTTCTGTTAACGCAGACGGTAAGCTGTGTGTGTGTTTCCGTATGTGGACAGGGGAGTGATGCTCCTCCAAGCCCCCTCGGTGTGTCTTTATCCCCCATCAGTACTCTGTGATGCCGATCATCTGTGATGGAACTGTCTATGCATGGACTGTCTACGCATGGTGTACTGTACCTTTTCTACTGCACTTAGAATCAGTCGGTGTCATGTCAGGTAAAAATGAAGAAATAAGAGTTCAGGTGAGAAGCTGAAGGACACTGACTGAAGTATTTCTCAGAGTTTTCTTTGCATCATGCTTCTCAACACAGAAACACGAGAGGTGCCTGAAACCTATAAACCAGACTCTGCATGGTGCAAATGAAACATGACCATGTTCCTGTTAAACTGTCCTGAGTGTTTGTTTAAACCTGCCACACCAGAATCCATTTACAAGAACACTCATTTTAATACAGCAGTAGTTTTACATCGCAGAACACGGGGCTTTCTGTTCTAATCTGCTGTGGTCAGTTTGTTAGTTTTATATGGTAACTCAGATCCGATGCACAGTTTACGTAACACAGCAAAACACTTGAGCCGCAGCAGTTGTAAAGCAACTTTCTTTGTTCTTCGAGGTAAAAGAACTGATTCTGTTAATGAAATCTGGTGTTTGTAGAGAGAGCTGTTTGTGGTTAAAAAAGTCTTCTTCCTTTGAAACTAAAAGGTCTCTCTCTGCAGGGATCCTTTCTGTAAGGTCGTCACACACTTAGAATAACAACCTGAACCTGTCAGTGACAATAAACAACAACTGTGGATGACTGTGATCAAAGATTCCATCACAGACATCAGAGAGCTTTCACAGCTGCCTTTTGAAACGGTCTACTGGAGCATTTCTAAATCTATCTTTATCTCAGGGCGTCAGTTTAATGTGTTTAAGATAATGGATTGTCTTTTTACCTCCACTTAATCTGTAGCGGAGACCGACCGAACACGAGTCTGGTGGAATTTCAGCTTTAGTGTCTTAGGTTGTTTCATTCTAGATGATGAGAGGATTGAACGACTCCAGACTGGAGCTTTTTTTGTTTTGTTTCAATGAACTTTTTAAAATAAATGAAACTTAGGAGCAAATGACTTGTGTTCTCTCTGTCTTACATCCTCCACTTTTCCCTGTCTCATATTATGTTTCATGTTTCCCTGTTTCTGCATGACAGGAAAATGTAGAAAATGTCAACTTTGTTCCAGCCTTTATGGGAGTATAAAGATGCTGAATATTTGATGTTTTTCTGTTCTTCTGTCCGGTCTCTCTCTCCAGGTCGAGTGCGAACCAGGAGAACGAGTTCAGGGAAAGGTCCGTGTGTGACGGACAGCCGGGGAAGGAGTCGAGGGAAAGTCGTGTCACAGTCTCAGCGTGAGCAGCTACTTCTTCTTCTTCTCACTTCGTTTTGTTTGTTTGTGCATGTCCTATTTCATGTAAAGTATATTTACTAAATTCATTTATATATTCTCTTTTATTTTTACACCCCAGATATTGTTTCAGGAAGTTATTAAACTGATGAATCGTGTTAACGTTAGTCCTTGTGTGTTTCAGCGGGCAGTAGGTCTGGATCTCCCGGCCGCCTGCTGAGCTCCACATACGGTCGTCTCCCCCGACCATCCATGGGCACCGCCTCAACGGCCACGGCCAGCAGCTCCTCCACTAGCCTGACCGACAAGAGCCGGCCCCGAGGACACCGTAGCCAGGGCTGCAGCCGAGAGACCAGCCCCAGCCGATCAGGAACAGGTAAGAGTGTCGGACCACCAAGCTAGAAAAAGACTTAAAAATAAAAAAAATCTGAATTTAACAAAGTCAGGATAAATAATATTTTTGGAGGCTCACCTCTGCTGAAATTATTGCAAGAGGAACATTTAAACAGAAGTCTAGATTTAAAACCGAACTAAATGTGGTCACAGGCTTGAGGTCTGAAACCAACAGGTTTAAATAGTAGAGTAAGAGTTGCTGTTAAAAGAGAGTTTTGAACAGATTTGCATGCACACCCCACCAAACAACAACAATACTCCTGTCCCTGCCTCTCCTCCTCACACTAATCCTGTATTTCCCTGTATTTCCCTCAGTCTGACTCCTCTTTCTCTCCTGCCTCACTAACCGTCTCTGCAGACCTCCAGGTGTGTCCATGTCTGGCTGAATGTGCTACAAGCTAAACTCTCCCTCCTGCGCTGCTGTCTGTCTCTCTGTCTGTCTCTCTGTCTGTCTCTCTGCCTCGCTCCTCTAGCCCGCAGCAGAATCCCCCGTCCGAGCATGAGTCAGGGCTGCAGCCGCGAAACCAGTCGCGAGAGCAGCCGTGACACCAGCCCCGCCAGGGGTTTTTCCCCCCTGGGTGAGTAAAGTCCTAAAATCCCCAGAAAACCTCCTCTCTGTCAGATCAGTCGGAACAGAAGAGAGGAAAGGGGAGTAAACACTAAGACGGTGAAGTTTGATAAGTCTACAGCATTTACATAAATAAGTCGACCTCTTATAAGACACTTTTTGTATCCTCTCTTCTCTTTTATCCTGCACACCTGTCTACATGTATCTGTTCCCTGTCTTACTCTTTGCATGCTCTTTATTTAGACCTACAGATTCTACTCTACTAATCTACAAATGAACTGTGTGCAAAGAGCAGAAGCAGAGAAACTTATTTTCTGATGGTCGTAAAGATAGTTAAAGATTGCACTGTTTTCTCCTGCTCATCTCTAACTTTACGTCCTCCTCCAGCGACCCGCCGGCACTCCCGTTCAACCAGCACCCTGTCCTCTGCAGAGTGCTACTCAGGTGACCAGAGAGGTCCTCTCAGGGAGCAGCTGTACTCAGTCAGCCAGATAAAATATCAAATTCAACTTATTTAACTCCACATTTTTGTTTCTGAATCACAAGTGGATGTAGGATTTTCCTTAAGATTTATATTGAATTATCTGGCTGATTGATTTAACCTGCTCAGGGAAATCTCTCCCTGCATGAAGTCCACCTCTCGGCTCAGAGAGGGAAACTATCAGCAGCCAAATCTGTTTCATGTTTTTTGATCCATTAGAGTGGTGGTGCTGCAACACAGGCACAACCTGGTGTTGTTAGTTTCCCACTTTGTTTTGTGAAAAAAATAATGAAGCTTCATCTACCCACAGGGGTCGCTACTGGGCATCAACATTGTCTAAGCAATTATAGAAATACTATCTATGTGCTCTGATGTTAAACGGTAAAGTGTGCTAGAATAAGCTACGTGGCTTCAGTGGTAATATAGTGTGAATTTAAATGTTTTGAACTTTTCTTTTGCAGCTTCATCAAGTTTATTCTGTTGCAGTTTGATCGACTTGTGTCCTTTTTTACTGCTTGACATCTTTATATACCATTGTGATGTGTTTGCATCTTGTATTTAAATATTATTCTGGCTGCTTTCTGCATTGATTTGTTACATCCTCATTCACAGAACATTGCAGCTTCTTTGTCCACGGGTAAAAGCCAACATAAGGTTCACCCTCGTTTTATCTGCTTGGTAATTAGGTTCAAAAGGGAATTCTCATACCTCTAAAAAGGGGATACATTTGAATGGATTCATATTTGAAATCCTTGGGGGCAAATCAGCCTATTTCCTTATTTTCAAAGCCACCAGACTTCATAGTAGAGGTGGGCGATATGGGACAAATATCATATCACAATTTTTTGGGGGCAAAATCACGATCAGGATTTTATCAGGATTTTTTTCATACTGATCTTTAGACAAATTTGTAAGTTACTGACCAGTTCAACCAAACTCATTTCCCTGTATAAAGTTTTTAAATGCACAAAAACTGTGCTGACAAGTTTAGTCTATTTGAAAAACATCTTTGTAGGAGGTCTGGAGGTCTTTCACCCAGAACATCTTTAGCAACAGAAATGTCTTTCCCTCAATTTGATCAATATTTATGCACAATTTTAAGGTTTTCCTTACCACTTTGAAATGATGATTTAGTTATGTGTCCTCTTTTTATGTTCTTCAGGAACATTTTCACGCAGTGATGCATTCATTTAAAAACATGTAGACTTCGAGTTCTTGTGTTTCTGTTCTATTATAGCCCTGCAGAGTTCCTACAGCTGGAGCTTCATACAGGCTCTGCAGCCTTTGTTTATAGGATGTTTTTTATGACATGATTGGATTAACTTTAGTTTGGTTTATACAGTATATAATCAAACATAATACAGAATGTGTTCATTCTGTGACACTTGATCAAAGTATGTTTTACTGAAAGAAGAGTATTATTTATACAGGGGGCGGGACATCGTTGATTGACAGACAGACAGTCACCATGGTTACTCACACTCACCTGCCTGCTGCACACATCGTGTAACGTTGTTTAGCCTAATCCCTTTAAATTCAGTAATCACAACAGGTGAGCTTCGAGTGGAGAAGCTTGATAGTAATTTTTCAAAACCGAGCGAGAGCAGAAAACAATGAGAGCAACATTTTAAACACCGGGTTATATCTCTCATCACTTAGGCTACTGTCTGAGCTCCGCTCTGTCTGACTCTCTGCAGACTGTTAACGTCTTTCCAGCTCGTATAACGGTTTCTTGTCGCTGTCCGAGATGTAAACGTAACTGCAAACTATGCAGATAAGTTAACTGATGCTCACGCTGTGTCGGTTTGGAAAAATATCAGAACAGTTGCATATAACCGGGATGGAGTTGTTTTTGCAGACTTTACTTTTAAGTTTCGTTTTCGTTTTCACCGCGGCGGAGCAGAAGGGGAGGGGGAGACGCGTCTGTGTCGGAGCATAAACTGCAGCATGATAGAATAAACACATTAGCCCGGTTCTACGATCTCCCTGCCTTGGCAGATCGTCAGCAAGATAAAATCCTTCACGATCTAAGATCGTTATATTGCCCACCACTACTTCATAGATAAAATCAGTAAGTTCACTGCAGTTTTACAATAAAAAAAACAACCTTCTATTTAATGTAATTTTAGCAGATGCACTACGATTGGGCACATTTGCTCCCTAGGACAACCTTGCAGCCCTTACATCCAGGCTTTTAATTTTTTAAAGTCCATCCTAAGTGCCTGCTACCAACTTGCAGCTTCACTCCTGCACAGAGGACTATTAATCCCATGTTCATCCTGTTTATACAATCCTCTCAACATGCTAAAACATATTTTTCTTTTGTTTTTTTAGACCGTCTGTCCCATCAGGCTCGCATCTCTGCCTCCGTCAACGCCATGAGGATCCTGGACACCGGCACTGACGTGGAGGCTGCTGTGGCTGACGCTCTGGTAAGGAGGGAGGCGAGGACATTTTTTACCCTTGTGAAAAATAAAGCTGGTTTTCTTGTAAAGAACAGTGCAAATTGAAAAAATCAAAGTGGCTCAAAGTCTGTTAAAATGTTGTGTTTTTCTTAAACCCACAGTGAGTGTTTTTAAAAATGAAACTATATGTACACGCAGAGTTTGAAAGATGTTTTCAATAAGATCCATCACTTGAGCTGACAGTCAGTGACAGGAGGACAGGAGAACATGGATTAACAAGTTGTTTGGGCTTTTATGGAAATAGTTAACGATAGGAAAAACCTAGAATAACAGCAGAGCTTATGCTGTAAAGAGAGCATGTTGATGTTAGAGCGCCCGCAGTTCTTCATTAATCCCCTCTGTCTTCTTTTATCCGTCATTTTGTTCACTTCAGCTCTTAGGAGACTCGAGGAGTAAGGTACAAAGAAATCTCGTCTGAGTTCAAGTTTTCTGTAACTGCATGAAGAGCATGAACGTTTAACTCTGATTTTAATTTTCAAAACATGGAAGAGTGAGCAGGCTTTGATTTCATTGAGGAAACTAAGACAGAAGTGTTTCCTGTTTTATACTTTTTAACTTTTGATTTTCTGTTGAGGATAATGTTTCTCAACACAATAACTGCTGACATTATCCCGTGCACTAGAGCTGTGCATGTGTGTGTGTGCATGTGTGAAATTACCTCATCACATCATTGGACACCTGCATGTCTCTTCCTCTGTAGCTGCATGCTAGATCCTTTCAGAGCTCTAGATGTAGAATGTGATCACTTTAGTTTTTATACTTTAAACATTTCTCCTTCTGCTCAGCGGAGGCCAGTGAGGCGGCGTTTCGAGTCTCCAGGAATGTACTCGGACGATGATGCCAACAGTGACGCCTCCAGCGCCTGCTCTGAACGCTCGTACAGCTCACGCAACGGCGGTATGGCGCCACACTACCTGCGTCAGACAGAGGATGTGGCGGAGGTCCTGAACCACTGCGCCAGCGCCAACTGGTCTGAGAGGAAGGAGGGACTGCTGGGGCTGCAGAACCTGCTCAAGAGCCAGAGGATGCTCAGGTGTGTGTGAGGAGCTGGGTGTTTTTCTGCTTCCTAGTTTTTATTTCAAAAGGTTCTTCAGACAGCTACCAAAAGCAAAGTCGTACATCTTTCTTTGAACTAACCGATATTTCTGCTCGTTCTCTCTGTCAGTCGCGTGGAGCTGAAGAGACTTTGTGAGATCTTCACCAGGATGTTTGCAGATCCTCACAGCAAGGTGAGCTGAGCCTCTGAAACACACACAGCATGATTCAAACACTGCAGCGTTTTCACCACCAGCACAGATCACTGGGCAGCAGCCTCATGCAGATAAACTGTCTCTGCACATTGAGATAAACTCCAAAACAGGTCTGAGCAGTTGTTTCTCCTGAAAGCATGATTTCTGTTGAGGATGATTCAAACCTCAGAGCTGCAGTTTCATCACAGTCACATTTATTCAACTGTTAGGATCGTGGCAGAGTTTCACTGAAGCAGGTGGTAAAAAATAAGTTCCTGCCCAGATTCTTTGTTTCATGTTAGCACTAATTAAATAACTGAAGGACAAACTAACAGAGTGTTTCTTTGTTGCATGCCTCCTCGCTGCTCACGGCGGACTCTTAACAAACACCAGAGAGTAAGTGTTTACTCACCTTACTCACCTCCGTCCACTAAACTTCACACTGCAGGTGCAAACTGACAACATACATGTGGAGGAATATGAAGAGCATGTTTTCTCTCTCAGGTGTTCAGCATGTTCCTGGAGACTCTGGTGGACTTCATCATACTGCACCGGGAGGACTTGCAGGACTGGCTTTTCGTCCTGCTCACTCAGCTGCTGAAGAAAATGGGGGCCGACCTGCTGGGCTCCGTCCAGGCGAAAGTCCAGAAGGCTCTGGACGTCACGAGGTCGGTAGAGGAGCTAAAATATGAAAAACTTCAAAATATGTTTCAAGACATCTGCTTGTATTTTGGTCCTGTCTAACATTTGGACAGGGCACATCTCTGATGAAGTCTGTTAATTAAGTAATCTGTTCTTTTAATTGAAATAGTTCAGGACATAAAACAAGCTGTCCAACATGCTACATTTTTTATTTTAAAAATGTGGTTTACTTAAGGCCTGTGTCTCGAAATGACGGGATGCATGAAATACCGAGAGCTCAACATTGATCTGCAAAAGAGGAAAATAATACTTGTGTTTTATAAAGAGCAAAAATACAAATCAGAGGGTTTAAAAGTATGAAGAGTCGTCAGATACTTCTTTCAAACTTGCAATAAACTCATGAAAAACTACTGATATTCTCAGAGATGTGTGAACACAAACGGCTGAATGTTTCTCTCTTCACTCAGAGTTTCTCCTCCAGCCTCCTCGTATTTATTCTGCAGAAAGTCAGAGTGAGCTGATGTGAGAACGCAGCAGGATACAATCAGGAGAATTCACCTCCAGCGAGTGGGAGGGGGTGGTGACGGTTATTCTCTGATGATCGAGATATTTTCAGTTCATGTGGAAACGGCTAAAGTCAAACTCTCACCTGCAGAGTGAAAGCTTCTCTACTTTGTCTTGAAACAAGAAAACCTACAGTAGCAGTTTATAATTTCTGAGTTTATAAAAACACTTATAAATGTGGATAAATATGACGGTGAGAGATTAAAATATAGCATTGGCTATGACACTTTTTGTCAACAGAATGATTTCATATTTTTCCGTTTCTCTGATATTTCTGCAGAGAGTCTTTCCCGTACGAGCAGCAGTTCAACATCCTGATGCGTTTCATCGTGGATCAGACGCAGACGCCCAACCTGAAGGTGAAGGTGGCCATCCTGCGCTACATAGAGGCACTCGCCCGTCTGATGGACCCGGCTGACTTCGTCAACTCCAGCGAGACGCGCCTCGCCGTCTCACGCATCATCACCTGGACCACCGAGCCCAAGAGCTCTGACGTCCGCAAGGTACGAGGGCGGGACGTTATCACTGCTACCTCCACCTTCCCCCACAACTTCTTCCTTTTTTTTTATTTATTTATTTTATTTCTCTTAAACTGTTCCTCTGTTAACCAGTTTAGTTTTTCTTTGTTTCATTTTTTTGTTTTCACATCTTGATTTTTTTTTCTTCCAAACGCAATTTCTCGTCCACTGCACCCCCAGTCCCTTCAAAATTGGGCAGGGGAGGACTTCTCAGGCCGGGCCAGCACCGCGGCCTCTCTGCCTGGGGAGGGCAACCTGGAGGAGAGGTGCAAGCAGGTAGAACCTCCATCAAACAGCATGACCCGAGTGTGTAACCTGCGCTAACACAGCCTCAGAAACACTCTGGGCGGATGTGAAAACACTCCGACAGTGAACGACGTGTGTGAAGGCTTTTCAACTAACTGCTCGTTAATGAAGCCTGATCGGGCTACATTTCTGATTCATGACCACAAACATATGTGGCTGGTTTATCAGGAAAATCCACTTTGATCCTCAGTGCATGAGTTGGTGCAGACTAACAAACCAAACAAGACGTTTCTTCTTCAACAAGTTTGCCTCTAACTTTCGCCCGTAAACCTTGATCAGGTCGTATTTTCTCAAAGAAGGAAACTACTCCAAAAAGCTTTCGCCAAACTCGCTTTTTATTTTGTTTTAAGTTGACAATCTGCATGGTTACTGCTCAAGTCTGCTTCTTTTATTATCATGTTATCCTTTGACTTGCACCCTCTCTCTCTTCTTGAGAGGAACCCTATTAGCTGATCTGTTTTAGAGGTTTATATTTAAAAATGCCACCAACTCCATCTACACGTTAGGACGTAGTTGGTTAAAACGTCGTCTGACAAAAATGTTTTCTCAAGCAAAGTGTATTGGAGCATTTTCAGCATTTGAAGTATAAAATATGCTAATGTTCTTGTGCTTTAGTTTGAAATCTGTGAATGAAAAGCTTATTGAAATGGGTTCATATCAAGTTACAAACGGTTACATAAGAAGCCACACATGATTATTCTTTAGCATGCAAATCAAACATCTGGGTTGTAAGAATAATTTCAGAATGACTCCTCAAACAGCTCAGGGCACCAGCTGGGTTTGAGTCAAAGTTAAAATGACTTTGTTTCTGTGTGTGTGTGTGTGTGTGTGTGTGTGTGCAGGCTGCCCAGGTGGTGCTGATCGCCCTGTTCGAGCTGAACACGCCGGAGTTCACCATGCTGCTGGGGGCTCTGCCCAAAACCTTTCAGGACGGGACCACCAAGCTGCTGCACAACCACCTGAGGCACGCTAGCCACAGCATCGGCATGGTAACACATCAAGTTTATCTAGTTTGACAAAAAGATAAGACTACTGACTCCACCTTTAAATATATTCTGACCTTTCAAATGATCTGTAAACTAATAACAACAATTATGATTGTGAATGATAAGCTGTGTATACTAGAAATAACGGGTAAGTGCATCCTTACCAAGGACTTCAGAGTTCCATCTTTGGTTGGAGATTTGTGTCAGAACAGATTTTCAGATGTTTTTCTCTGAAGCCTGCCGTGTTTGTTGGATTTTCAGGTGTCTCCCAGTAACACGGCCGGTCGGACGCCTCCTCGACAGCCCAACAGCCGCAGCAGCCCGCTCACCTCCCCGACCAACTGCTCCCACGGGGGGGCTTTCTCCCAGGTACGCATCTGTAACACTGCATCTGACAGACTGCACCCTGAATCCATGAGTCACAACAGCAATATAAACATACCGTACTTTCTCTCCATCTCTGAATTATTTGCTTTTATCCGACTGACAACTCATCTCCATCACAAGCCCCAGTCTTTTTTTTCTCAACCATCAGATAAAGACGGCTTATTTTGAAAGTATTGTATTAGTTTAGACTGTTATCTGATCTCAGCACAGAAACCCAACACCAGATTTCACAGCTGCATCCAAAGTTAACCTGCCAGTTCTCCACCTGCACGTACTAACACCAGCTAAGAACAGAGCTTCTCCTTTTTTTCTCACATTTCTATCTTCTCTCCTGGCTGCTCTCCTCCTCCTCTTCCTCTTCCTCCTCTCCTCTCCTCTCCTCTCCTCTCCTCTCCTCTCCTCTCCTCTCCTCCTCCTCCTCCTCCCCCTTCTTACCCTGCTCTTCCTCCCCGGCTGTTTGCAGTCGGCTGTGGGGTTGGAGCGCAGACGGCCTTTCCAAGTTCCCTCCTCCACCCTTCCCCTCCCCTCTTCCTCCTCCCGCTGCCCACTCCGCCCTCAAGGCAGTGCGGCGGGCTTACTCCCCAAGGTAACCCCACCCCTTCTCCTCCTCAATCTCCTCCTCAGCCTCCCCATCATAGTTTCACAGTATTGGCTGTTTTGACACCACCTAACCGTCACATTTCTTTCTGTTAGAGTTAATGAACTATCTTTATGAAGATTCACTTCTGGAGTTTGTTAAGCATAATGTGAACCTCTAAACTAAGACTCACTAACTTTTCATTTGTTGTACTTCTGCTGCAATAATTTGTGCCTTCATCTGTTCAAACTGTTTCCATTCATTCTGCTTTCCTTTGCTCGATTGTCTCTGAGATTTAACAAAATCAGCGCATCAGTGCCCCGCCTGTTCCTACCTGCGTCTTTTAGTTTACCTGTCTGCACGTGAAATGTTCTGTAATTCATCATGGGGCAATCATTCTTAGAAACAGACTGAAATAACTTCCATGAAAATGTGTAATGAAAGAGTAAAGCACTTTAAGTAACTCCAGTGATTATTTTCTGTCTAACTAACCTCCTCCTCTCTCTTTCCTCGCTGCAGCATGTTGGAGTACGACAGCGAGAATCTTAACTCAGAGGAGATCTACAGCTCGCTCCGCGGCGTCACCGAGGCCATCCAGAACTTCAGCTTCCGCAGCCAAGAAGACCTGGTGGAGCCGCTGAGACGAGACGGGAAGAGGGACGGCATGGTGAGGGCAAAGATGACGCTTAGTTATAAAACACATTCACTTTGGTAATTAATTAAGAAGAATCTATTCCTGAGTCCAATATTTGTAACGATGATGCTTTGTTGTCATTCTCCAGTCCGGAGTCGGGGCGTCTCCAGACTCTGACGCTCGGCTCAGCGGTGATGTGATGGGAGGAGGACGCACCGCTCTGGACAACAAGACGTCGCTGCTGAACACGCCTTCCCCGCGTTCCTTCTCCGGCCCGCGCTTCAGAGACTACAACCCGTACAACTACACGGACGGCATCAGCACGCTGGACAAAGCATCGCTGAAAGAGGCGCTGTACGAGGACGCTGTGGAGCAGCTGAGAGACGGTGAGAACTCACAATGAAGCTGGAAATGATCAGTGTTTACTTTGACATTTTTGTGTCACTAATAGTTAATGTTGTCTCTTCAGGAAGCCGACAAGAATGTGTTGAAAATAAGATATTGAACCCCAAAAACTTCCCAGGTAAAGACACCTTCTTTTTCTACAACAGAAAACACAAATCTGCTGAGAACCACTAAGAAACGAGAAGGATGAGTCACAGGCGTCCTGTAACGTTTTTCTCTTTGTTTCACCAAGATAAATTTACAATGGATGAAGAAAATAATCCATCAAGAGCTTAGTGACAGTTGAATGAAACAACATCAGCTTAAAGATAAACAGGAAGTAATTTATGGAGCTGCTCTTCAGGAGCGCTTAAGCACCAAAACATCTGCACATCAAATACAGCACTTCATTTCTACGTCTGTTTATCTTTTGGTTGATTTAAATTCAAGCTTCAGACTTTTCCCACCGTCACACACACATACACACTCACACACACACTCAGAGCTGTTCATAGGTTGTGTTTCAGTTGAATTACGGCAGAAATAACAGCCCATGCATTTCTGCTACAAGACTCTAGAATGAATGAAAACATAGAACATGTCAAGTGGCAGAGCTTCAAAGGTTTTGTGATGTAGTTTAAAGCATTTTTGTTTATGTTCACCCTCGTCCTGCAGCCGCCCCCGCTGAGCAGCTGGAGCTGGTTGGAGGGCTGCTGAAGGAGCTCTCTCAGGGCCAAGCAGGGGAGCGGGGCCCTGAGGAGCGCCGTGGGACCCTGCTGGAGCTGCTGAAAGTGGCCCGAGAGGACAGCCTGGTGGTGTGGGAGGAGCACTTCAAGACCATGCTGCTGCTGCTGCTCGAGACGCTGGGAGACAAAGACGTAAGGACAAAACCCCCAGCCCAAGTTTATTAATGTCATCATCATCGGTAAAGTACTTTGAGAAGATCTTTTCTTTTTCTTTTTTAAACTCTCTGAGAGTTGTTTTGATCTGATTCCTCTCCCAGCACACAATCCGAGCCCTGTCCCTGCGAGTGCTGAAGGAGATCCTGAGGAACCAGCCGGCTCGCTTCAAGAACTACGCCGAGCTCACCATCATGAAGGCGCTGGAGGCTCATAAAGACTCGCACAAGGAGGTGATGGCAATCTGGAATACTTTGAAGCCTGATAAAGTGATTCCTGTTTTTAAAACATTGTAGGATTAACAGCATCTCATTTCTAATCCTGCAGGTGGTGCGTGCAGCGGAGGAGGCGGCCTCAACGCTGGCGAGCTCCATCCACCCTGAGCAGTGCATCAAGGTCCTCTGTCCCATCGTACAGACTGCAGACTACCCCATCAACCTCGCCGCCATCAAGATGCAGACGAGGGCCATCGAACGCATCACCAAGGAGCCGCTCCATCAGCTGCTGACTGACATCATACCGGGACTCCTGCAGGTGAGAAGCTCGTTTCCTGAACATGTTCGGTATTCTGACTTCATGCTGCAGTCGTGTCTGTTTCACCGAGCTCCGTCCGCCGTTTCAGGGCTACGACAACACGGAGAGCAGCGTGAGGAAGGCGAGCGTCTTCTGCTTGGTGGCCATCTACTCTGTGATCGGAGAGGAGCTTAAGCCGTACCTGGCTCAGCTCACCGGCAGCAAGGTACGCTCATTTTAACGTCCTTCAGCTTTGTGTAAGCATCGGTGTTAAGTATTTCCACATACTGTATCTCATTTTTATAAGTAGCCGATTTTATCATCAAAGTTTCATCAAATAACATTCAAGAATTCTAGTTGTGTGGTTTGAATCTAAGACCATTTCCAGCAGAAAAACCACGCTGCTAGAGTCCGTGCAAGCTGGTCAGTCAGGTAGACTGCCTGCTGTCAGAATCCATTTCATGTTACAATAACATAACACCGTTTCAGGGGCATTTAATATATTTTTATGTGTTTAAACAAAATGTAAAAAAAAAAAAAAGTGATTCTTTAAAAACAGAGTAGCGACGATTCAGAAAGAGCATCTACATCACTAAGGATAACGTGGTGCAGACTGTTGCAGGACAACATCAGGATTTAAACATTACAAAGGTTCTTATTCAATAACACTGCGCCAGTAATGTGAGCTGACAGAAGGCGTGAAGTCCAGGAGCAGAAGGTTTGAAATAAAACTCCAGAGAGAGAGAGAGAGAGACAATCAGACGTGTGGAGTCTTCTAATACTCCTGATGTTTCCCTCCTGCAGATGAAGCTGCTCAACCTCTACATCAAGAGGGCCCAGACCTCCACCAGCAACAGCAGCAGCTCCTCTGACATCTCCTCCTACTAACCTCCGCAGCACACGCTTAGCTTTCCTCTCCTCTTCCGTCACTCGGAAACCTTTTCATTCCTGCAGCCGATCACTCAGCAAAAGTCAGAAATGTTCAACTTCTAGTAATAATCTAATGTGTCGACATTTGTTTCAATATCGTGGCAACAAAAACAGAAGTCCTAAACACCCAATGCAAGCAAGCTCCTGCACACTGTCCCAATCGTGCAAAAAATGTTTTGTAAAATGTAGACGGTGTGCAGGAGCTTTGATACTTCTGATCACTATAAAACACACGGTATCAACGCAACGACATTTATGACATCCTCACTCATCCTCCAAACCAGCTGTTCCCATTTCAATCCTTCAGCTTCTCATCGAGCTGAAGTCGTCTCCATCGTCTTCTCGTCATCTTGAAAGCGTTGCTAAAATGATTCATAACAAACCTCTCCTCTTTTTCTCTAGAGTCATGAGCCTTAAAACTTTTATCTTCCATCAATGTACGATGGATCCAGACACCATTTTTAGATCTCCTCTTCCTACTCCCTCCTCATTCCATCATCTTTTCCCAGCTGGACCTGAGGAGCTCTTTGCAGCTGAAAAATATATCCGAACATTACCGTCTCCTTAAACTTTTAAAAGCGTGAGGTGAGTTTGAAATGTTGGAGAAAGAGGAGAGTTTCACGCTTGTGGCTATCTGTATTTTTACTCACTTTTAGAACCTTTAATCCACTTCCACTTTTAACACTTTATTTTGCTTTGACACATCAAACCTTATTGTATATTGAATGTAAAGAGCTTTGACAGGATGTGTTTCTCCCTCCTGAATTACTGCCTCATTGACACCTGGTGGATCAATTTTAAAGGAATGTTTTCCAGTTTGAACATGTGCATTAGATTCAAAAATGGGTCCAATCTGAAGCGCTCTAGGTCAGAAAATAACGAGTGCAACACAAAAGGACCTGTGCGTCTTTCCTGCACTCGTTAGTAAAACAGTTAAAAGTGTTTAAGCTTTCAGAAAATGTGAACTCCAACCTGATGTTGGTTTACATCGAATGATCATTTGGCTGGCCAATGATTAGAAGCTGTGCAGCGATTAAAGAGAGCCCGACGACCAGCGGCAGATATCAGTGTTATTTAAAGAGCAACAAACTTTAAAAAGGACGATTTGTTCTGTGCAGCACTCATCAGCTGAATTCACTTTTTAAAATCTATTACAGGCAATAAATACACGTTCAAATGTTATCACAGAAGCCCGAAGCTGACATCCAGATATTTATTTAACTCTGTTTTCATGTTATAACATTACATTACAATTGTTTTCTCAATGCACTGAGAAAATGCTACTTTCAAAATCATGCTAGTTTTTTTTTTTTTAATTACCATCCCTTCCTTTAAGTCGGAGCATGAAGCAACATTTAGAAAAGTTACAGAAGCAAGAAAAAAACCTCCTTTCATCCCATAATGATCTTAAATCTGTTTTAGATTTTTCAAAGTGTTAAATGAAGCGGATGTGCTGCACAGACCTAATGTGTCATTTATATATCATATATATATATTACATTTCAAAGACTGAAGTGAAACTAACGTCTGTCGGCTGAGGACGGGAACAAACAAAAACAAACCACTGAAACGTCTGCTGACACTAACTGTAAAGTCATGACTACTGGGATTTGTAGTTTTATTCCCAAATACTGTAGTTTATTTATGTTACACTAAAAAAAAGGTCAAGACTGAGGTCTTAATATCTCAAAGTAGTGTCAGTGTTTAATTTATGAGCGCTCCGTTGGGTTTATTATTCTTCAGTTTACAAACTGTTGACAGCGTGTTCTTGTTTTAAAGAGATGCTCGAACAGTTGAGCTCGTCCGCTCTCTCAGCCAGTCTTAAATTGAATGTAAGTCACTCTGAGGCTTTTAAAAATGTGAAAACTAAAGGGCAATACGTGAATCTGACAGAAAGACTGACAATCTGAATGATTAGAATTAAAGGAGATCTATTCTGCTGATCCTGATTTAAATACAAACATATCATTCTAACTCCACACTGCTCCTAGTGGTAACATGCATACTGCATCCCGCGGACACAGAGCGTTAATCAGATAAATAAGAAGGTTACTCAGCAGGTGTCCCGCAGTGACATCATGAAAGGTGAAAGAGAGTTTAATAGATCTCCTTTAAAGCCAGCAGCAGCGCTGATCGATGAACTCTAAAAGTGCCAGCTCTTAAAAATGAAAAGTATGAAGGCGATTGTTTGATCTTTGGACTTAAGCAATAAATTCTCAGAAATCCAGTTTGGGTTTCCACGTCGATGCACTGTAAACTTCCATTGTGTTCCTCCGTTGAGACGCGCTCGCCGGTCAATGTACAGACGTGTTTTCATTTTGAAGTATATCGAAATAAAATGTTACTGCTGCTTATTCAAATACTAACTAACGCGCCTAATTACTCCAGCGTATGTACTGTATCACAACAGAAAGGTTCGGGTACAGATACGATGATGAAGAATGAAACTAAACGACTGAACTCTAAACATATTTAGAGTCCTCTGATTGGTCGAACTCCGCCCGTCCGGCACACAAGGCAGGTTCAAACAAACGCTACAGTGAGTTTAAGTCACATCGGAGAGATAGGCTGTATCCGAATTGCCAAGTACCTCTTCAATCTGTCAGTAGGCAGTACCTACTATCTGTGCTGTATACTGTTAGTACCTACTGTTCAGTAGGCAGATATTTGTTCCTACTTCTTCTGAATCATTCAGTATGATAGTGACGTCATTGACGTTACCCGAACCGGCCGCATCCACCCGTTTTTTTTGTTTTTTTTGTTTAGCTTTATTCAAGAAGAGTAATGCACATATACAGTCAGGTAAACAAAAAACAATATCACAATGTAAATCAAGTAAAAGATTAAATAACTAAATAACATACAGTACATAAAGGAAAGAACAAATGAAAGACAGTAATATACAGAATATAAAATAAACCAATAAAGACACATTTAAATAGTGAAATCATAATTTAAATAGAGGGGGAAAGGTTTTATAATAATGCAGACATTTGTTATATTTTCTGTTGTTAATTTAAAGTAGTGATTTCAGTCGGGACTTTAACTCTAGATTAAAAATTGATTCAATTAATCCACGCTCGTTTGTTTTGATTTGGAGGCGGACGTGAAGTGTCGATTTACATTTAATTTCGCACAGCATTGTGGGTAAAATACAATTAATTTCCTGAAAGCACACATACGATCCATACTGCATGAAACCAGGAAGTTAGTATCCATACTGAATGACCACGAAAGTTCAGTTTACTGAAACTCCTACTGAAAAGTACTGCCTACTGAACTGTGACAATTCGGAAAGGGCCACAGTTTGACATTTTAGGAAATGTGCCTCGGGTTATCTTGCAGAGTTAGAGCGGAAGTTTGATTCCACGACCTTGCTTATACACTACATATACAGTCGAGCTACTTCTGCTTAGCTTAGCTTAGCATAAAGACTGGAAACAAAGGGAAACTGCTAGCCTCGTTCTAAACAAAAATAAGGCAAACATTCTTTAGTTTATTTTCATGAGGCTTTGCAAAGATCAAGGGATTAAAAACATATCACAACAAAGGTGTTAGCATTAAATGAACTGTGATTAATTATTGTTTATTTCATGCTAACGTTAGTAAAACACACTGCCACGTGCATATATCATAAAACGACTTTTTGTGCAATCTGGGCAGAGCAATAAACACCCACCTGTGTCAGGGAAGAAACAAAGTACAAGCATTGTGAAATTAATAACAGAACAACGTAATAATGTACGTAGTAATACTCCTCACACCTCTACAGTCCAGATGTTATGCTAAGCTAAGCAGCTGACTCTCGCTGAGAACGATTTCCCAAACTGTTGACTTTTCTCTTTAACGGATGTTTGAACCGACAAAGTGAAGGATGCTGTCACTGAATGATTCCCAGGCCTTATTTTATCTGCAAACTCGGACTGTTAGATGTGCTGCACCTGTGCCCGTCGTCACTTTTCTCAGCAGCGTGTGAGCGAGAGAGAGAGAGAGAGAAGTTTGATCTGCTCTTAACTCTGGGCTGAATGTTTCCTCCACAAGCGATGAGCACGTCGTGCGGTAGATCCCGTGTTAGCCTGCTGCAGCTGCGGCGACTCAGAGTGTACTCCCTTTACTTTTTGTACAGTGAAACTTCTCAACTACGTCTGCATGCGTCCGTCTCAACAATCGTGTTGCTGAAATGTACTAAACTCCAAATTGAAAATCGTCCTCTTGAGTTCCTGAATGTGTGCCTTTGGGTGAAGATTTCTGGCAATACTAACCTTTACTAACACAACGTACACTGCTTCTAAAGTCGGACTAAACGTCGTAAAGAAGAGAAGAAGAAGGGCTGTAAATATGCTGCAGGGAGATACTTTCCATTGAAACCACTTCCAGTGCATGGCTCCTGTTTGTTTTCTAGTTCATTAGTTTTATTTCATGCTATACGATATTTATGTTTTACTTCCCTGTGTATGACTGTATATATATTTACATGTTTGGTTCTCTTTCACCTGTGATAGAACTTGAAATAAACTATCAGACTTCTACTCGCTTGTCTTTATTACAATCAATACATGAAGCTGTGTTGAAGATTTCTTTCCTTCCTGTCTTACATCCTGAACACATATGACTGGGATTTTTGTGGTGTCCTTTCTAGGTCACATATTCTGCACAATCCACTTCTCCATGTTCCTCTAACTCTAATATGTGTCTCTAGTCTGTCTACAAACCCTCCAATGATGAGAAAAGTCCATCCTCTCTGTGTGTTTCATAATGTCTTTAAGGTAAACTGAACATTTTATTCCACATTTTCTGCCACAAACCAAATGTTAAAGTTGTAAATCCAAAAAAAGCAACAAAATCGCTTCATATATCTTTCTTCTTATCTTATCAGACATCAATTATAGGAGACATTTTCTGCAAACTGGTACATTCACTGAGATACTTAAACTATAATTTAATATTCAGCATTTCTCCTGTGATGCTTTGTCGTACTTTTGGTACGTTCACCTCTGACCAGATTGAAATACTTCATCCACCTGTTTGTTGTATTTGTGGAGCTCCTCATGTGACCATAGTGTGGAACTACATGTCCCATGAGCACTTGCAGTAAAAAAACAAAAAAAACAGCTCAGGTGTTTCTTAATTGATGTAATCAGAAACCCACTGGTCTGCTCAGGTGACTCTTCAGTTTTATCTTTAAATGTTGTGTTTCATCGTAAGCGACTGGTTTGAAGGTAATTTGATCCTTTTATTGTCTCTCTTCATGTTTTGATGTTTTTCACCTGAAATGCAAATTAAAGAAAGTCTTAAGCGTGACGTATCACGAGCTTAAATGAGAGTTCCTGTCAGCTGTCTGAGAGAAGTGGTGTGAGTGCGACCCTCTGTGTGAAGAGAATTACAAAAACAACCACCAGAGGGAGCTGTTTACATGCTTATTATCCATGATTGGTCTGCTTCTACAAATGAAGTTAGACTAGAAGAGTTTACTCGTCGGTCCTTTTTGAATTATAGGACAGTTTTTATAATTTAAGGTTCAATATTTGGTTGGGATCAGCTTCTCCTTCTGAGGCCAGAGCTCTTCAGTTCAGTGTGTCTGCTTCTCGAGATCAAACCTGTGACTCTGTTTGTTTCTACAGGCCGAGACCTTCCTGGACTCCTTATGTGAGTGAGAGAGAGAGAGAGTCAGATCCACAGAGACAGCTCAGCTCAGGGTTCACACTCACAACATCTGCTGGCAGGTACAGAGCTTAAAAACGCTGCATGCTACACTTCAGGCTGTTTCATTCAACACACAGGTTCTCTAAATGTTCCCCTTGTGTCTGGTCGGGTAAGATTTCCATAAATCAAAGAACTCAAACCACGACATCCCCAAAAAAACGTTTTTAACTTCTTGTAAAGGTTTGTAGATTTATGAAGAATGTGAGTTAACTTGGAAGTTAAAGGAATACAATGAACTTTATGAAAGGGGGAGTCTGTGACGGACTGTTGGAGCTAGGTGTCCCAGAGAAATTAACCCGGTGGAGTTTGAGAAATCTCATGTCGTTAATAAAACCCTGGATGCTTAGATGTCCCAAAGTCCGACACTGAGGAGGAGGAGGAGGAGGAGACTTATTGTGATGTGGTTTTGTTAGTTTGTAGCTGGGACGAGGGTCAGCACCTCCGAGTCCGAGGTCACGGTTCTCTGCTGAGAAACCGTGCACTCGAGTGTTTTTGCAGATTTTCTTCCAATTTTGTTTCTTGGATCTGTGATGATAATAAACTGTGGCTCAGTGGTAGAGTCGGTCGTCTCTCAACATAAAGGTCCAGTGTTCGATGCCCAGCTCCTGCAGCCACATGTCTGACGTGGAACCCTGAGTTGCTCCCACTGCTTCATCGTCAGCAGTGTGTGAATGGATGAGTTAATACTGATGGACTCTTTACTCAGCAGCCTCTACCATCAGTGTGTGAATGTTTAGGCGTGACCTGCGGTGTAAAAGCGCTTTGAGGAGTAAGAAGACTAGAAAATACCTAAACAAGCTCAAGTCCACTTACCGTTAACCGATGAGACTCGGAGGTGAAAGATGAATGTTTGAGGTCAGACGCCGTGTCAGAGCCGCTTTGATCTGATTATTGGTGATTATAGATGAACTAACATTAGGGTCACACTGTTTGATTAACACACTCCTCTCCCACACTGTATAAATCTTTAAACACTCGCTCGGCTCGGCGGCTCCTAATGGGGCGTTTCATTCGCGGATCAGTGCGGGGTGTGGGGGGTGTCGCCCTCCCCGTCGTCAGACCTTCAAACGGCTTCGTTAGCTTCTCTCTGCGGTGGCCTGTGTCTCATTACAGCGCTCTGCCTCTTTCATCAGTATGCACATGCTGTTGAAAATTAATTTCATTAAAGTCCCTCTATTTGTACCACCACCCCCCTGCACCCCCACCCGCCCAGCTCCTCCTGTTTAAAACCCCTCATAGTGTATGATTAGCGCACATTTCCCCAACCTGGCTGGGAGTGGCGGCTGGGTCGGAAGGTCGCCTAAATGAAAGAGAACAACTTCATTGTGAGATGACTGGCCCATAAATCATCGGCCGTTTTCTATAAATCACGGCAGATGGCAGGGAGCGAGCCGGGGCTCATGGGAGCTCGTTGCAGCCCCTGTGCATGATGGGAAGGGCCGGGCTTAGCTGCGACGGAGGCTGGCAGAAGCGCAGGGTCAGTTTCAGTTTGTGGATGCTGAAGACGTGAGGTGTGGTGGAGGCGGGCCAGAGGCCTGGCTCACTCGCTCCCTCCCCCCCGTCCCTGCAGCTCGGCCCGGGCTCACCTGATGAGATTCAGACCTCGGAGGTCCGCGTGCAGCCCCTCTCCACGCTGCCCTCCGTTTAACAGGTCTAATCTGCCTGCTTAATATGTAGACAACTTCATCCCCCCCTCGTCCCCGAGCCGCACTGAGACCTGTCAGGTTGACACTAAATGTCCGCCCAGGAGGGGAGATGTGCCGGGGCCGCTCACGCCTTCATTATTCATCATGATTATTTAACAGAACAGGATCCAGCCGCACTGCAGCCCGCCGTGCTGCTGCAGCAACACACTCACACTGTGTTTAAACTTCACGGTCTCACTAAAGTGGAAGTTTTAACTGCTCCTTTAACGCCTCCTTCATGAGGTGGAAGGCCTTTCAGTCAGATTTTCTGCTGATGTAAAGATGCTCTCCTGCTTTCTACTGCCATGTCCAAACTTTGTTCCAAATCACAATAAGCTCAGCCTCCAAATAAAGAAACTACTTAAGACTGTTCTTCAGAATACACCAGAAATTCACAGATTAAA